ACACACACACACACACACACACACACACACACACACACACACACACACACACACACACACACACACACAGTTAAAAAGCTGCACAGCGTCTGTTAAATATTCTCATTTTGCTTTGAGAACATTCAGTTTTACTTCTGGAACCAATTTGAACAGCTGTGGCCAGATTCAGGGAGAGTCCGTGAGCAAGAGAGTGATACTGAGTGTGTGTGTGTGTGGGAACAAGTATAATGTTGCTTGTGAGTACCAACTGCATTTAGTTAACTGCCTACTTAAACCATGTTAGCCCTGAGCACGACAGCAGCAACCTCCAGTAAACTTGAAAAACGCTGCACTCTTGGATTTCTTTTCTCTTTTTATGTACAATTTAATGCAGTAACACAACCCTCAAAGCTCGTGTCACGATGCTCTTAACCACCAACAAGCCTAAACCTTTAAAATGTCACACTGTACTACATCCCCTATTCTAAACCCACTCAATGATCCCTGACCACTAACGCACAAACGACATCACAACTATTTGCATCCAGTTTTTACTGTACGCCTTAAAGTAATGAGATGTTTTACTGTCCTGTAAGACAGACCCTATAGCCCCCCAAAAACCTCCAATAAAGAGCTGTTGCAGAGTTGCAATTCTAAGGTGGTGAAGCAATGGCTTAAACTTTAGCAAACATACACTTAATATAAATCTGAGTCATGCATATGTGTCAGTAAACATGAATATTCATTCAAACAAGGTGGAGTCAGGTCCTCTGGATGAGTTTCTTTCTTTCTTTTTTTTGTTGAAACRTTCAGATATTTATCCAAAAGACTTCTTCAGTCTGAGGAGTTTCAGGTAAATAATCAGCACCTTCACATTAATCAACCAGTTTGCTGCTGACACCCAGAACTGGTTGTTCACATCCGATATTTAGTGCCTTCATGGCCGTTTGTTATTCACACTGTGCGATGGCATGGACGGTGTGAGTTTACCTGCAACTCCTCAGACTGAAGAAGTYTTTTAGATTAAAGAAAAAACTACGGTAAATGGTTAAAAAAAACTTGTTTGTCAAAACAAAGTAAAAATAGTCAAACATTAAGAGGATTTGAAACCAAAAATAAAAAAGGTTTTAACTGGAATCCAACTGAACTTCTTGAAAAGTAAGCTAAATTTTTAGCTTTGCCTTTAAAAGAGCCAGCTCTAATTTTTTGAATCTGGGTTGTTTTACATTATTTTCTTCATGAACAGAGGTCCAAGCAGTTTTAATTTGGAGAATCAGAGCAAAAGACACAAACAGGCTAACGTTCCTCATGGCAACTTAAAAGATTTATTTGTCAACATTTAGAAGCAGTTTGGAATGAAACAAAAAATCCCAAATGTTGACTGCTGATAACAAAAGACCAGAAAACCAATGATAGAATGATGCTGTACAACTGTATCATCAGCATAGAATGATAATGATGCATCAGATACATTCTGGTTCTCATTATTATTGTAAATTATATAATAAAAATACACCTTTCATATTCTTATAGTGGGAGGGGACAGACCACTGAGTGGTGCTTCAGATCAGAAAGATCATTTGAAGACTAGCAAATTATCTTTGTCATAATAAAGCCTGTGGTGTAAGATGCCATAAATACATGCTTTTGGCAAATCTTTTTTAAAAGTTCAGTACAGCAATAAACCATTGTTTTTATTGCTGTGCTGCTTCCTGAAGCCAAACTAACTAAAAATAAAGGAAACATTGAAAGACAACTCCATTAATTGATCATGTTCACAAGGTAAGGTGTATAAACCCAGCTCAGGTAGCAGCCTGATGTTGGAGTTTGAGTTTAAAAAGAAGCAACAAACACTGTTAAATTAGAGGTAGTCTGTCTTAAAACKTGCAGATGTTTGGTTAAAATAAACATCCTGAAATCTGAAATGTTTTGGTTTTAATGCCAGTCAACAAAAAATAGGCTCYAATTATACAATCTTTGGCTTTTCTGCATGGAATTTGACTAAACCAAAGATCTTTTAAAACCAGATTAATCCCCAGCCAGTGGGATACCTCAGATATGTTTGTGTGCAACCACTCACCATTGGCTCAGCCAGCAGCGTCTCGTGGCGAGCGAAGATGTTTCGAGTCACTGCAAACAGTCGGAGGTGTTGCTCTCTTCAAAGTGGGAGAAACAGCATGATCTCCAAACGTAAAACACGAATCTTGTACTGTTACACTTCCTAAACTTTTCCGTCCTTCTCGTTCACAGAGGGAGTTCGGCCCCGACTGTCGTCTAACCGAACGCATCGAGGAGAACAAGTACAACACCTACGCTTCAGCTGAGTGGAAGACCAAAGCTAACAGGCCCATGTTTGTGGGACTGAGCCCCAAGGGAAAGCCATTGAGGAGAAAAAGAACAAAAAGGAAAAACACAGCCACTCACTTCCTGCCCATGGTGGTGCAGTCACAGTGATGGGACGGTTCTGCGCACCTGCAGGGTCTTTCTTTGGAGTTACAGGGATGGCTCCACGGGACAGATCTGAAACGGATCTGTATGATGCACTGAGGAGGCAAACAAACAAAATCTATAGACATTTAAATATGTTGGAAATAAGACATTTCTATTTTAAAGAAAAAATATATCAGTATACAATGTATATAATATTTTCTGTTCTAAGTTATAAAGTACACTGGCGCAGGAAATATGAAAGAGAAACAACTTCTGTGCCAAAATGTGATTTATTAACTCACATTTTCAGATTTTTGAAGTGTGTGTGGGGGGAACTACAGCGAAAGGATCAAACATAAAGTAAAAAATATGAAGGTAGACAGAATATCATTAAAAGAGGTAGAAACAGATAGCAAGAACAAAAAGGCAATATAAAAGTAAAAAGCTCAAAAAAGCACCAACACAAACTTAACACTATCATGTTTTCCCCCAGATTTATTTATTTTATGTAATATTTAATAGAAAAAGAACAAAGGGAAAAGTCTTGTCTTTTTCTACCATTTATGC